TTCCCCCCCCCCCCTTAGGAGGCATACCAGAAAAGGTGAATGGAAAGAAGGAGGGCCTGCAGTTATTTACTGGCAAGGACAACATCTGGGCACAGCCACGTGGAGCGTGAGATCTATGCAGATCTGTGTTCAAGCAACTGCCACGCCCGGATATTGGAAGTCTCATCAGTACGGATATTGAAATCATCAAAAATTGCAACAGGATGGTGCTGGAGAGACCCACGAGCCAAACTCTGTTATGGTTAGCAGCGATGACCACTGAAGATGCCACAGTTCAGTTGCTCATGAGACCTCTCCCTGGCAAAGCCAACCTTTGGGCTGCTTTAAGCCCGTTCCTCTCCTAGGAACATGTTGCAGAGAATCTATAGCCAAAAGCCAGTGACCCTAAAAGCACTGTTCATTTCCTGAGCCACAAAGGACTATGTCAAAGTTTAGCAAGTGATTACGAAAGCTCTCCCAGCTTCAGCTTCCCTAAGAAGTACTTACCTCACAGAGTGCTTATGCATATATAACGTAGCACGACGTGCAAATAACTTACTGAACATTTCGGCATTGTTTTCGAGTGTCGGTCAGTTCATCCAACCCTCTCGCAGCAACCTCGTGCAGGCAGGGCTCTATTTAATCCCTGTTTTATAGATGAGGAAACGTTACCAGGTGGTGCTACTGTTGATGGTAACTGTAAAGAGTGAGGAGGGGAGGAGGTCCCATCTCCCGGAGGTTCACAAGTCCTGTCATGTCTGTTAGAGGGGACGACACCTTGCAGGGAGGCTGGAAGGCGGCAGGAGGACCTTGCGGACCGACGGTGGCCGGCGCAGCCAGGGCTCTCCCGGACCAGCGGCCGATGGCTCCCTCCGATGGCGGACGCGGAGAGCGCAGCAGGTTGGGATGGACCAGGCGTGAGGGGCGGGTCTCCGCGGGGGTGAGGGCTGAGGCCCGTATCCAGAGACATTCCAGGGATTCGAGAGGCCGGAGGAATAGGACTCCGGAAGGCGCCGAGCGACGCGGCCCCGCATTCCCGGCGACGCACCTGGGCCAGGTGTCACATCCCCGCCCACCTGCAGCTGTCTTCCGCCGTCGCCGCACGCCCCTTTCCGTGGTGGAGCCTCCGGGCGTTTCCGCGAGCTCGGAGTGGGCTCCCGCCCGCATAAAGGGTGCCTGTTTGCACGGGGGTGATGGGCAGCTTTAGGGGCCGTGGCCTACACCTTGCCGGAGACGCATCCCTGAGGGGCGACCCAGGGCAGTATCCCAGGCGCGCGTGGAGCGGGAGCAGCGCCGGCCCCCGGAGCCCGAGGGGGGAGGGCTTCCCCGGGGGCGCGCCCACGGGGCGGGGCTGGGCGCCGGGACCAATGGGGCGCGCGGGCTGGGGGGGGGGGCGGGCTCCGGGCCTGGCATCCCGGTAGCTGCAGCTGGCTTTTCCGGCACCCGCGCCCCCTCGGCCCGTAGCCGACCCCTCCGGCTCTCGGGGATCCCCCCTCCCCCGGGCGGCTGCGTCCTCCGGGCGGGTGAGTGAGCGCCCCGCCACACTCGGGCTGTGGGGATGCGCCTGGCCCGGGAGCCGCGGATCTCGGCCCCCTCCAACCGGCCCCGGGAGAAAGTGGGCAGGAACCGGTGTCGGGGCGGGGAGGAAGACCCACCTTGTGTTGCTGGCCTGTGTCTTTGTTTTGGTAGTCGAGGGGTGTGTTTGGGTTGGTCGAGTTTGGAGGGCGCCTTGTGTGGGTGGGAGGAATCTGGTGAGGCTGGGGGGAGAGGAGCTCGTTTGAAATGGGAAGGAGAGGATTGATGGAGGGCGGGGCAATGGGAGATTTGGAGATTTCTCTTTGCCTTAGGTGAGGTGATTGCTTGGGGGAGTTAGGATGGGGACAGCTCAGGACTTCGGAGGAGGGGGTGAGGAGGGCTTCCTGCCGGTAACTCACTTCCCTTTTGGGGGATTTGTTTCCTCTTATAGTGCTAGTTAGTTGAAAAGGGAGAGTATCTTTGCCTCTTCCCAGAACAATTGCCATCCCTAGTCTTCCGGATTTGGGGGAAGGGTGGCCCCCAGGAGCTGGGAGGGGACTTGGTACCCAAATGCTGAGGGTGTGGAGTCTGCCATTGCCCAGGGAAGTGGCAAGGACCAGTCTGCTCCCCAGGAACTCTGAGTTGCTGGTGAGTGAGTGAGTGTGTGTGTGTGTGTGTGTGTGTGTTTCTTGAAGCTCTTCCTTTTGGGGAGGTTTCCAGGTGTTCGGTTAGAGGTGTTTTTGAGGGGCTCCATGGAGCTGCTTTCCATTAAGTAACACTGTCTTTTGCAGGCCTCATAACCCATTGGTGGCATCTTCTGTCTGCTCTCCACCATGGCCAGCGAGAATTCTCCTCTGCTGGCCTACCGGCTCCTGGGAGATGAGGGGGTTGCCTTCTCTGCCAATGGGGCCGGGGGTCCTGGAGGGGCATCTGCCCGGAAGCTCTCCACCTTCCTGGGTGTGGTGGTGCCCACGGTCCTGTCCATGTTCAGTATAGTTGTCTTTTTGAGAATTGGTAAGTGGGGTGGTGGGGCTTGCTCTGGGGTGCAGGGGGGGTGGGGGAGGGGTAGGACTGGGAAGAGTTTGGGGAAGGGTCCCGGGAGAAGTAGATGGATGGGAGGCTTGGGGAGAGGGCTCCCCATGGCCCTGTGTTGAGCTCTGCCCTGGAGGTAACTGATGACCAGTGTGGTGTGGGGACGCATGAGCCACCTTCTGACCTGCTTTGCCACTCCTGTCCCAGGGTTCGTGGTGGGCCATGCTGGGCTGCTGCAGGCTTTGGCCATGCTCCTGGTTGCCTACTTCATCCTGGCGCTCACCGTCCTCTCTGTCTGTGCCATCGCCACCAACGGAGCTGTGCGGGGGGGTGGAGCCTACTGTATCCTCCAATGTTGATGGACTGGGGTCTGGGCTCTTCTGTCTTGTAGGGAGGAGGAGGGGCAAGGGCAGGGCGAGAGGGAGGCAGGTTCTAATGAATGTTCAGCAGGTGGGCTGATATGGGGAAGGTGACCAACATGGCCTTTCCACGTATCTTACTGCTACTCTCCAGTCTATCAGGTGTCTTCCCAGCCGTCCTTTTGGTTCCCCCAACAGTCTTGTCAATTAGATAGTTCATTTTCCAGATGAGGAAACCGGAGTTCAAGAGTATTAGTGGCGCACTGCAAAGCCACGTGGCTTGGGTGTGACCGCTCTGGACAGATTAACGCTGGGGACAATCCCAGTGTGTGCCGGGAGACAGGGCTGCAGTGTGCTTTGTGCCCGGACCCTTCCTCCTGCTCCATTTCACTTTCTTTTCCCTTAACACTCACCCCCTGCTTCCACTTTTAGTCATGATCAGCCGTACCCTGGGGCCTGAGGTTGGGGGCAGCATCGGCCTCATGTTCTACCTGGCTAACGTCTGTGGCTGTGCTGTCTCCCTGCTGGGGCTGGTGGAGGCCGTGCTAGATGTCTTCGGGGCTGGTCTGTGTGCCAGGGAGCTCTGTGGGTTTGCGGGGTCTGGGATTCGGGGATCACGAGGGTGAGAGGCCTCTCTAGAAGAGGGGCAAAGTGGTCTATTAGTTTGGCTTTCTTGAGCTCCTACTATGTTCCCAGCCTTAGACATCTGAGAGATTGTCCTGGCCCACAGGCAGCTTACCATCTAGTTGGAGAGGCCAGGCTAATACCCCTAAATTCAACAGAGCAAGATTGGTGGTATCTACCAGGGAGGGGTAAGATGCTGGGGTACAGTTGAGTAGGGAGGTGGGAAAGATAGTGTCTGGGGTACAGTTGAGTAGGGAGGTGGGCCAAAGAGGGGGTCTGTTCCTGCTTTGATTCATGGGTGGGATCTCTCCTGGGGAGTCTTGTCTTCTAACCCTGTTCCTTCCTCTTTGTAGACTCCGCAAGGTCCAGTGGGCTTCAGGTCCTGCCCCAGGGCTACGGCTGGAACCTGCTCTATGGCTCCCTGCTGCTGGGCCTTGTGGGTGGGGTCTGCACACTGGGGGCTGGCCTCTATGCCCGAGCCTCCTTCCTCACATTCCTGCTGGTCTCTGGATCCCTGGCCTCTGTGCTGGTCAGCTTTGTGGCTGTGGGACCCAGGAGCATCCCCTTGACCCCTCGGCCTGGCCCCAATGGCTCCTCCCTGCCGCCCCAGGTTGGCCACTTCACTGGCTTCAACAGCAGCACCCTGAAGGCCAACTTGGGTGGTGAGCTGGGTACAGGGGTGACGGTTCTCAGGACAAGGAGCAAGCATGTGGGGGGAGGCAGGCCCTTGGAAGCCCTGGATGAGAACAGATGCCAGAGAGAATCAGGGGCAGGAGGGCAGATCTCAGAACAGCGCAGATTATTCAGGATCTGTCTAGTATGCTTGGCCCAGTGGGGCGTGAGAGTGACCACGAGACAGTTCCTGCCTTAGAGGAACTTTTTTTAGTTGGAAAGATAAAATGTGCATTCAGGAAACAATTAAACAGCACAATAAAACCAAAGTGGTTCAAATAGATGGGAATCAGGAGAGGAGTTGGGAGGAGGTCTGGGGGCGAGCAGGGAGAGCTGGGAGGTGGCCCGAGGTGTATTGGGGAATTCAGGTAGGAGCGAGAGGGACGGTGTCTCAGGAAGGGGCAACGACAAAGGTGTAGAGGGAGGAGTGAGGAGAGTGGGGGGGAGTGATGAGGCCAGCTGAGCCAGGAGCTGTGATGGGTCAGGGCTGGGGTCTTGGGGTGGGCTGTTTGTGACATGTGAGGAGAAGGTGGCGGGGCCAACATGCCTGGGTCCCTATGAGGGGTACTGACGCCTTCCCCTCCCTGGGAACCATCTCTCAGCTGGCTACTCCAAGGACTATACCACGGGGGCCATGATGAACTTCGCCAGTGTCTTTGCTGTCCTTTTTAATGGCTGCACGGGCATCATGGCGGGGGCCAACATGTCAGGTGAGGGTCCCTGCCTGCTGCCCCCTGGGGGTGTAGGGCTGCCACCCCGTGCCCTGGTGGGAGCGCTGAGGGCTCAGGAATGTAAGGGATGGTAGATGGCTGATGTCTCCCCTTCTGCCCCTCTCCCTCCAGGGGAGCTGAAGGACCCCAGCCGGGCCATTCCCCTGGGCACCATTGTCGCTGTCGCCTACACCTTCTTCATCTACACCCTGCTTTTCTTCCTCTCCAGCTTCACCTGTGACAGGTGCCTGGGGAGGGGGCTGGCCTGGCCCTTGAGGGGGGTGGAATGGGGCCGCAGAACAAGGTTGCCACCCTTGGATCACCAAGGGAAGCACAGGCCGAGGGGGGGCAGGTACCCCCATTGTTGGGGTGCAGGGAAAACGGAGACTGTTTCTCCCTCTGGGAGAGAGAAGGAGCGGCCGCCGCTGATGGGGACAGCCGGGTAATTGGTGGTAGCCAGCCTGTAGCCAGAGTTTGCTGTGTCCCTGGGACTGTTGTAAGCACTTGGTTTTGGGGGATGGGGGATAGCTGCTTCTCAATGCGTATTTCCATAAATATTTGGTTTCTTGTGCATACACCGTTGGGAATGTCCACCATGTGATTAAATCCAAAGCAGCCCAAAGATCAACCAGTGAATACCATGTCTTTCCCCTCCGGGCACACATGATGTATTACAATGGCCTTTGAGCCTGGGTCAGTTGAGAATCCCCAGGAATACCCAGTTCTTGACCTCACGAAGAGTCAGAGCACTTTGCTCACGGAGGCCCTAGATGCACCTGTGTTATCTGCATCCTCCTTTCCCTCCCGCCAGGACCTTGCTGCAGGAGGACTATGGGTTCTTTCGCGCCATCAGCCTGTGGCCCCCACTGGTGCTGATTGGTATCTACGCCACATCGCTCTCGGCCTCCATGAGCTCCCTCATCGGGGCCTCCCGCATCCTCCACGCTCTGGCTCAAGATGACCTCTTTGGTGCGCCGCCCCCTGCTCCTCGCCCGGCTCTGAGCACACCCTCCCGTGTCTGTCTCTCTCTCCGCTTGGCCCTGGGCTGATGTGTCCGCCACGGTGTTTCTGTTTGCACAGGAGTGATCTTGGCGCCGGCCAAGGTCGTGTCCCGAACAGGGAACCCCTGGGGGGCTGTGCTCTATTCTTGGGGCCTAGTGCAGGTAAGCCTTCTTTCCGGCTGTCCTTCCCCTTCCCCTGGGCTCCTTCTGGTTCTGTTCCCAGGACCAGGAGGGGCTTGGGCTTGGGCTGGGAGAGTGAACGAAAAGGCAGGATGCATTGGCATTTGGTGGGGGGGTGCGTGCATGCCCAGCCTCTCGGTCCTTGTGTAGCTGGTGCTCTTGGCTGGGAAGCTGAACACGCTGGCCGCTGTGGTCACCGTCTTCTACTTGGTGGCCTATGCTGCGGTGGACCTGTCCTGTCTGAGCCTGGAGTGGGCCTCGGCCCCTAACTTCCGGTGAGTGGAGCAGTGGCCTGTGTCCTCAGAGACCAGGGGGGAGGCGTGGGAAGGGCTCAGTCCAGGGGACCCAGGTTGGAGATGGAGGCCATGGCAGGCCCTGAGTGCCCTTCCTTCTCTCCCCCACCCCAGCCCCACCTTCAGCCTGTTCTCCTGGCACACCTGCTTGCTGGGGGTGGCCTCCTGTCTGCTCATGATGTTCCTCATCAGCCCCGGGGCCGCCGGCGGCTCACTGCTTCTCATGGGCCTTCTTTCCGCCCTGCTCACTGCTCGAGGAGGCCCCAGTAGCTGGGGCTACGTCAGCCAGGCCTTGCTTTTCCACCAGGTTGGGGGGCTTGGAGGAGGGTAGGGAGGGGGGAGGCACTCTGGGATCCCCATCCCGCTCCAAGTAGGCCTCCTTCTGCCGTGGCCGGAATCGGGGTTCTGTCCGAGAGGTGGTGAGTGGGGGCTGCCCTCTTGAGCCCTTCCTCTCCGCACCTCACCCCTGGTCCCAGGTACGTAAATACCTGCTCCGGCTGGATGTCCGGAAGGACCACGTGAAGTTCTGGCGGCCCCAGCTGCTGCTACTGGTGGGGAACCCCCGGGGCGCCCTGCCTCTGCTGCGGTTGGCCAACCAGCTCAAGAAGGGGGGCCTCTATGTCCTGGGCCACGTCACCCTGGGAGACCTTGGTGAGTGGCCCTCTATTCCCTTCCCAGCCTCTTCCTCCCTCACGTTTCAGACATTCTTCATGGTCTTTGGGTTCAGAGGCCTCATGCTTCTTCCCTGACGACCCTTCCAACCAGCCCGAGCCCTGCCCAGACTGTTTTCTTTGGCCCATTTGGGATTTGGATTTGAGGAGAAGGTACATGGGTTTGGCCCACATCTACTACCTCCCTTCTCTGCAGACTGCCTGCCCTCGGACCCTGTGCAGCCCCAGTACGGGGCATGGCTCAGCCTGGTGGACAGAGCCCAAGTGAAGGCCTTCGTGGACCTCACCCTCTCGCCCTCTGTGCGCCAGGGAGCTCAGCATCTGTTGCGGATCTCCGGCCTTGGTGAGCTACTTCTCCCCGGGTCCCCTCGGCCCCCTCTGTGGCCCCTTTTAATCTCTGCTACCATCCCCCAGAGTAAACCACAGACTGCAGACTCACAGTCTAGTGCAGATAAGACGTGGGGCTCAACTCAAAGATACCGGATGGTGTGTGAGAAGGTCCTGGAGGAGATGCTTAAGGGCTGGTGATGGGTGCCACTGACATTTCTTTTTTTCTGACCCAAAAGTTGGGGTACAAGCTCTGAAGAGCATGCTGTGTTCCTGGGGACAATGGGAGAATTACTTGAGGCAAGGGGGCTGCTCCATCAAATCTAGGGCAGATGGTTTCTAATCATCCCACTTCAAGACCGCTATGCGCTGATGCGGCTAGTGACAAGATGGTATACTCAGCTGGGCCTTAGAAGGGGTGGAGAAGGAAGGGCTGGTGTGACATGGCCTCCGGAGACCACAGAGGATGCAGAGGGTGAGTGGGGCTGAAGCTTCCCGAGCCAGTGGAAGAGTCTCTGCCTTGTTACTCTGCCTTAGTGCGAAGGCCTTCAGCCTTACGCCCCGGCTTCCTCCAAATCTGGGCTGAACTGCCTCCTTCTTTCTCAATCCTAGGGGGTGTCAGCCCCCTCTCTGGGCACACGCTCCATTCTCCGTTTAGATCTGGCTAAAGTTCAAGCGTTTGGGGGCTGTTGGCAAGCATTATGAGACAGTCCCTGGAGCATCTGAGAGTCTGGTCTCTCCTCAGCCCCACATTTTGTGGGGGAACCTGTGCCAGGAGACCACTACTTTTACGAAATTTATCCTGAGGAGAGCGATTGCAATGAAGGAGAAGGATTTCCTCGAAATAGTTAAGTCCTCCTGACATGCAGAACTTGATTTACTGGTGGATTTTGAGCCACCCATTTGTTTCATGAGAAAAAGCCTTAGACAAGATCTCAGAAGTTTTCTGTAAACTCAGCCCTGTTGAAGGGCGGGGGTGGGGGGGATGGGGGGAGATTATCCAGTTTCACATTGGTTCAAAAATGGAAAAATCAGGAGCTGTCAGCAGGAACCTGGGGCACTGTATTCACTTCACACACGGGTTCAGAGACTTAGAGGGTGGCCTCTGCTGCTGGGTGCCTTGTGTTTGCCTGTGGACCCGGTATCCACCTGCTGTGAGCCTTGGGGCAAGTGACTTCACCGCTCTGTGCCTCAGGTTGCTTACCTGTGAGAGGGGTGAGTAAATGGCCCCTACCTCCTGGTGTTGCTTCACGAGTTAAAACACAAAGTGCTTTCAGCGGGCCCTGGCCCTTCGTTAGTGCGCAGATGGTAGCTGTTTTTTGTCCAGGGATCTTGCTTTGGACTCACCACCATTAGGGCTTTGCAGTAGTAGTAGAAACAGATCGGGCCAGTTCTCATCACCCCCCAGCAGAGTCTGAGGTGCTGTTTCCCTGGGGATGGAGCCCACGAACTTGACTACTGACTACTCAGGGCGGTGTGGTCTGCCCAGTAGACTCAGACTGTCATCTCCCATCATGAAAAAGGTGTGCTGCTAGCTAGAAGCTTGCAGTGGAGGCCTCCTACTGCCGAGTACCGGAAGTGCTCGTTAGTTAGAAGAATCCTAAGGCGAACTTTGCCCACTTAAGTGGGGAGATTAGTCACGGAGGTGCAACAAATAAACGCATGCAAGAGCGTTTGGGAAAAGGAAAAGTCGTTATGCAAACGTGCATAGTGTTGCCTGGAGAGCCCAAGCACGAGGCGAATGCCATGCCTGATGGCTGACGTGTGGTGCTGCCGGCGTGTACGAGTGGGCGCGCATTAGCGTGGTGTAAACTCAGCCCGTGAATCTGATTCCTGTTGGTTCCTTCCCACCTCCTCCTCTCTGCCCCCAGGTGGCATGAAGCCCAACACGTTGGTCCTGGGTTTCTACGATGATGCTGCACCCCAGGACCACTTCCTGACAGACCCTGCTTTCTCCGAGGCTGCTGATGGCACCCAGGAGGGTGGGTCCCCAGCCCTGAGCACCCTGTTCCCTCCACCCCGGGCTCCCGGAAGCCCCCGGGCTCTCAGTCCCCAGGACTATGTGGCCACGGTGGCAGACGCCCTCAAGATGAACAAGAATGTGGTTCTGGCCCGGGCCTGTGGGGCCCTGCCCCCTGAGCGGCTGAGCCGGGGGTCTGGGGGCACCTCCCAGCCGCATCACGTGGATGTGTGGCCCCTCAACCTGCTGCGGCCCCGGGGGGGGCCCGGCTATGTGGACGTGTGCGGCCTTTTCCTACTGCAGATGGCAACCATCTTGGGCATGGTGCCTGCTTGGCACAGTGCCCGGCTCCGGATCTTCTTGTGCCTGGGGCCTCGAGAGGCCCCCGGGGCGGCCGAGGGGCGGCTGCGGGCACTGCTGAGCCAGCTGAGAATCAGGGCTGAAGTACAGGAGGTGGTGTGGGGCGAGGGGGCTGGGTCTGGGGAGCCTGGGGAGGAGGAGGAAGGGGACTTTGTGAATGGCAGGCGGGGAGATGCCGAGGCAGAGGCCCTGGCAGGCAGCGCCAACGCCCTGGTTCGGGCCCAGCAGGGGCGCAGCAGAGGAGAAGGGCCCGGTGGGCCTGAGGGTGGGGATGGCGAGGGCGGGCCTGCCACGGCCCTCACTTTCCTGTACCTGCCTCGGCCGCCAGCTGATCCTGCCCGGTACACTCGCTACCTGGCGCTGCTGGAGATTCTGACCCGTGACCTGGGCCCCACACTGCTCATTCATGGCGTCACCCCGGTCACTTGCACTGATCTCTGATGCCCGGGTCCTGAAGCAGAGTGCGCAGGTCCAGCGACCCGCCTTGGTTAGTGGATGTGAAGGGGAAGGGCAGCCTTCCGGCCTGCTCCACACATGGGAGCTTCCCAGGGGAAGTATTAGGGGATCCTGGGCTGGGGCGTCCCGTCCCTGCCACGCTGGGGGAGGAAGCCAGCAGTCTTCCCCACTGGCCTCCTTCCTTCACCGGTGCCTTGATGGAGGCTGGGTCTCTGCTTGGACTCTAGGCTACCTCAGTTTCCCTTTGCCCAACAGATTCACAGACCGCTGAGGTTGTGATGTTTTTGTTGTTTTATTTTTCTAACCGCTGAACGTGAATAAAAGACCAAAACACTATGGGCTGGCCGAATACTG